CCAAATGACAGATTTCCCTACCCTTTCACATACTTCAAAGAGTAAAATCCCTACCCTTTCATATACCTGAAGCCTGAAAAAGGTACCCCTTTCTGGCGAAGCCTCCCCGTATAGGCCATTATAGGGAATTCCCCCCGGGGTATTACAATGGTTCCAAGAGGAAAATTTGGGGGGGGGGGGCCGCCGAGAGCAAATAAGGGGCATTATGGAAGACGTGCAAATGGGGAATAGCCCAGTTTTCTAACCGCATATGAACCTGCGATAAGGCAGTCCTTTTTCCCATTTTTCTTTGGGAGGCGTTCATAGGTGACATAAGGTTTTACGGTTATTTGACATTACGATATGATATTTTGATATGACATTTTATTTTACAGTTATTTGTTTGAAGAACTCTTTTCCAGCAGGGTTTTTAGTTTCGACATTGGGTTATGTGCTGTGCTGTAGTAGACTGGTTCTGACAAGTTCTAAGGCAAACAAGTCAGATTGGTTTAGAACTATAAGTTTTTCAATAAGATGTTAAGTCTGATAGCGAACTCCGTAATAGGCACACTCTTGCTGTTTCAGGTGTTGAGATAGTGGAGAGGGCAACAAGAAGTCTGTTTTCCTGCTCACATCTCTTTGCACTGTCCAAACAAAAATTTTAATTATTTTGTCCTCACCCGTTCAAGAACGGGTGAGGACAAAACATGGACCAGGGGTCCATGGACCCCCACTTTGGACCGGGTCCACGGATCCCCTGTCATGGACCGGGTCCATGGACAGTTTTTTTTTAATAATAAGAAATGAACAAAAACAGAAATAGTGGAAAAAAATAAGGTTAAAAAACAACAACAACAACAAACAATGCTCGATTGAGCAGTAATGTTTAATTCTGCTTACATAGTGTGAAAAAAGAGGGGGGCGGTACCTCATGCCAAAATGCTGCTTGTTCCAATGAATTGTTTTCTCTGATGGGTAGATTATGCTTCGGACGAAAACCTTTTGACTGAGCAAATGCGAATTTTTGCCGCTTATTTCATACTGAGAGGTCGTGACACACATATTGATTTTCTACCTCTTTTAAAATGTAAAGCGTGTTCATTGCGGCTGATTAAAAGGGTCTTAGTTTGTTTAAATTCTCCAAAGTGCATCCTGGATCTGAATAATTCTAAGCCACTTTGTTTTTGTCCATGAATGTCACTTTTTCCTGCAATGTTTTGTCACGCTGGGCCCAGCTCCTTAGCGCTTTTAGCAGGACGATTATAAATTCTCACGGACTGAGTGATTTACAGATCCAGATCTCGAAGAAGAAGAAGTGGCATGGATTGTAGCTTAAACTGAAGCTACATCAGCTATGGAGAATTGCGATGTGACTCAGTCATGATTGCTCTAAAAGCAATGAATTCTTAACTACAGCTTGTTTTTCTAAGGGTGATGCGAGTCTTTGTACTGGAGGGCGTAATTCCTCTCTTGGTGATAACTTTTGAATTAGCTTAATTTAACAGTCTTGCGACGGCACTTGTGCAAGCAGAGTGTACGTCATGTAAGCACAACTAAATATTTGTGATCAATCGTGAGCATTGGTCGACAGCGTCTCGTGAAATCTTTTTTTGGCACTATTTCTGTTTTTGAGTGTCAATGGACATGGTGCAAAACCTTCTTATAAAAATAAAAAAAAAACTGTCCAGGAACCTGGTCCATGACAGGGGGTCCATTAACCCGGTCCATGAAAGTGGTCCATGGACCCAGTCCAAAGAGGGGGTCCATGGACCCCTGGTCCATGTTTTGTCCTCGCCCCTCTTGAACGCCTAGAACAGGCTATATCCAGCCAATCATAGCCCGCTATCATGAAATCCGTAAGTTGCCGATGATTCCGCCAATCATAGCCCCTTACCTTCATATCCGTATAGCCAACCTGCCATATCCTTCATATTCGTATATCCAGCTTGCCATATCCTTCAAATCCTCATATGTCTCATATCCGTATATCCGATACGCCATATCCCTCATATTTTCATATCCGTATATCACAGCTGCTCATAGCCTTCTATCCTAATATCCACGTGTCACTCGAACAAGCTTATCTCCGTGGGAATACTCTCATATCGGCGTCTTTAATTCTAGCCTGCGTAGCAAGCGTTTTCGCTCGAGTTCGTCTACAAAATCGGGATGAGAGCAAACAGGGGGAATATAGTGGGAGGGGGGAGAGAGAAGGAAACTTTCCTCTTTTCCCCTCCCCCTTCGATCTTCCATTTCTTTTGCTATCGCAATAGCGCGAGTGAAATCGCTCGCTACTAAGGCAGGCTGGCGTCTTTTTCTATCTAATATCCACATTTCTAGCTAGTCACATACCCTTATCCTATAATGCAGTCGAACCTCCACTACGGCCTCCTCTCTACAACGGCCAATTTTATTTGTCCGGGCGGACAGTCCACGTTACCTTGACTCTTGTTTTAACCTCTCTACAACGGCCACCTCTCTGCAACGGCAACGGCCACTAAATTGTGTCCCCAACTGCCAAAATAACCTCTCGACAAGGGCCAGTTTTTTCAGCAACTGACGGAAAGGTCAACGGAATGCTCAGGAAATTTGATGGCGCGTTGATGATTAATCCCGGTAATCGTATTTTGATTCTGTTCCATTTATACTACAGCAGTAAGCATAAATTGAGTACAATACTTATAGCGACTGTTGCGAACGTTGCAAACGTTTAGTCATGTTGACATTTTGATTGAGTTTTCTTGTGTATTTTATTTCTATATATTATTTATGACTGGATTACTATTATGGGATACAGTAAACATGAACTTGGCCCAATAAACATGTTGCACTTCCTTAAAAAAATTGTCATATTACACCCTTACCTCCTCACAACGGCCACTTTCTTCTGTCCCCAAGGTGGCCGTTGTGGAAAGATTCGACTGTATACGCGTTTTCAGCCAGACATCGAAGTCTTGACCCCGTATTTATGTTCATATGTCATTCCAACTACAGTGGAAGCTCTGCTTGCGACCACTCTCGTAAGCGACCAGGTCTAGTTACGACCACCTATGTGAAACCCTCGTTCGAACTGTGTCTTAAACTTTGTAATAAAAAGCTCTTGGAAGCGACCGCGATCACTTTTGGGATTACCCAACTGGACTTTTCCTTTGTTTTTAAGCTGTCGTAAGCGACCACTCAGAGTCTTATTCATATAAATCAACACTTAAATAAAAGTGCACACTGTCCTAATGGTTCGTTGATAAAGATCGTGTGCAGTACAGTACTGGATCCGTAAGAGCTTAAAGATATTTCCTTACCAACTACTAAGAATGCTTGGCAACTACGACTCACAGAATTATTAATGAGTTTCTGAAGCTCTCATAAGCGGCAACCCTCTATTGTTTTACCATGAGGCCACTGACTTACGAGAATGAGCTCTCGTAAACGACCAGCTCTAGTAGCGACCATTTTTTCCAGTTTTCGAGGTGGTCACGTACAAGAGCTTCGATTGAAGTCTATCCGTGTACCCTCATATCCACGTCTCAGCCAGGAGTTATCTCATATAGACGTATCCAACAGCCAGCCACAGATGCCAGTAGCCTTATATCTGCTAATTTACCTAGCTTCGTAGCCCCATGTCTTCCAGCTATTCTACTGATCTCCGTATGCCTTCCCCATATTCTCTTACCCTTCGGTGCAGCCATTTTATAGGGCATAGTTATTAGGTTTCTGTATAACTGTTAATGTTTTCTCGTGGACTTAATACAGTATTAAATACCTTTCCCTGACATCCAAATGTGAACACTCAAATTTAAGTAACGATATTGTTTATCACGTGATTTTCGTCGTCGATTAAATGGAACAGATGAATTAGTACCAAAGGAAAGATAACTCCAACGAAGGCATTTATCGCCAATGTAAACATCGTGTCAAACAATGGCCAGGAGGAAATTGTCTTTGCATGTACTTGAATTATTACTGGCGCGCCACAGCAAATAACTACCCAAACTGTAAGGAGGCAAAGATTCTTAAACTTTTTCTCTTTGAACTTACCCCACAACGACTTGCTTTGCTCGTTTGCACTGGTTTTTAATAGCCTGTACCCGATCAAATTCACAAGGAGAAAAAGAAGGAGAATCAAACTAAAGATAACTGCGAGAATTTCATATTCAAACTCGTGAAGAAAACAGCTGCACCACCAAAAGCACGCGGAGCCAAAGAAGCCGAAACAAAGTGGACTAAGCATCAATAATACCGGCGGTAAATGGGTGAGCATGTGATGGTATAACCCGATTATCAGTATTGCTGTTAAGTTCGACACCAAGATAACATTGACGCAAACCGATAAGATCTGGAAGAAACTACACATTCGGCGTACTTGTTGAATATCTAGTACATCCAAAACTTGGATGGAGATCATGGTAAGGATGGTCATTTGGTAAAGGAACTGGTTGATCACTAGGGGTCTGTACTTTTGATGAAACACTCGTGGCTTTGACGCGCTCTTGAAACAGACACGTAGCATCTGCCCATTGAAATAGAGTCCGGCCAAGTCGAGGACAACCAAAAGTAGAACGGACCAAGCCATGATAAAGTTTATCGACCTCTTGCAACAGAACAATGTGTGGACAGAATGACGGAACAGTTTGTACTTGTCCACTCACGGCTGTGGTGAAAGAAAGTTGAATGAACAGCTACAAGGTAATATTTAGCCAATGCAGACAAAATGAATTAAGCTCAGAAAATATTTAACAGATTTAATGACAAACTACTTAGCAATATTGAAATTAGAAAATTGAATTGTTTTAGGACAACTTTTGTAGCCAAGGTTACTACCAAGCAACTTTACCAACTTTGCTACAATAAATTACAAATAATTTCCTATGGCTGTGAATACGGACCTCAATACATTACAGATTGATCCAGACTGCTCCACCTTACAAGGACAAGCTCGGCATTGCCACGAAATTGGAAAAGATGTTGTCTGCGCTGCCCTGCCCATACAACACCCATATAAATACCACATGGAGCATAAAAGACAGCGCGTACGTAGCCCATGCAAGATAGTCAAAATAACAAGACCGAAACCAAGTAGTAAAATTTATCAGATCCTAGCTTTGTAAAAGAAACAAAAAAGGGTGAAAACTATCCAGCAAGTGGGGGTCTTTATACTCAGGTAAATTAAGGCATGGGCCTCAATTTGCCTTAATTTGCTCTCTTCAAAAGTGAGGGGGTGGTCTATATCTAAGAGCTTTAGATGAAGAGACATAAAACTTTGCCAGCTAACCACATTTTTAGTTTGTGTCAATTTTGTGCTTTAAAATTATGCAAATTAGGTCACGTGACCTCCATCGGCTGAAAAAGCTTGTTCTTCAAACGGCAACACTTTTTCGTGTGTCTTCAATTATTTTACCGGTTGCACAATGTTAATGCCGTTTAATGTATCACTTCTGTGCTTGGCCTTTTTTAGATATTTAAAATCGAAGGCGTTAAGATGGGATACAATTGCTTTGGGGGACTGGGTCTAGTCGAAAAAGCCGTTTATTTTCTAAAACAGTAAAAAATTCAAAAAAGACCAAGTACAGTCTTGTAGATGCTTGCATTACACATTGTCCTAAACCAGTCCGGTTTAATAACTCACAACAAAAAGTGTTGCCATTTTTGTTTAAAGACTTTTTATTGTTTTCTGGCCGTGTGGAGTCACGTGACAACATTTGCATAATCGAACATCACCTAATTGACAGAAACCACACATGTATGTATCTGGCAAAGTCTCATCTTTCTACTGCTTACGTGCTCAGAGATAGACCACCCCCCATCACTTTTTTACTGAATCATTGGGGACCTATGCCTTAATTTACCTGAGTAGGCTGTTTTTAGGTTAAGAAACCCAAGACAAGATCAGGAATGAGTACAATTTGTCTTTCCTGTGGTCGTCGGGTTACTTGCGAAAATACCAACACTGCATAATTTTATTCCCGATGTCAGGTACGAAAAGTTAAAAGACATTCTAAACATACTGAGCTTTAGCTGGTGTAGGTCATGACGTTACTTGCTAGACCTTGCTTAGCCTGCAGTGCAGGCGTTTTCTTTGAGCGCGCAATATGCTCCCGAAAGCAAAAGAGGAGGAGATGTGGCGATATTCTCCCCAATCTTCCACTGTCATAAAATCAAAGATGGCGGCTAAAACAATATTACGAACACGAACAATGTTTCGGCCACCCAAAATACGCTTGCACTGCAGGCAAGACCTTGCTAGAATGCCCATGTTACCGTGAAATACTTCAAATGACTAGTATTTTATAAATTTCCTTCTCTCTTGATTTTCAATACTACCGCTTGAACGAGTTACACACCGCAGTCATTTTTTCCCCCTTCAGCCGGCGTAGTCGCATTCGCTTGTTTATTATTTTTTGAATAAGTAAATTTTGTTGTAAAAGGGAATCATAACTTCAAAGATGTCTCAAATAACAACATGAATAATAGAACGTCTTTTTATTATCCATGATAACGATTGACAGACTTTTAAAACAATGTTCAGTTCTTTCCTCTCCCATTTCAACGACAAGTCTGCCACCCTCATTTTAGTGTTTCCTGGCCGTTTCTTTTGTTTTCCACCGTCCCATCTCTTTTTTTATAAAGTCCTTCCTCTCCCCTCCTTATGGTGGACGACAAGATAAGAAAGAATAATCCTCTCTTGATAGAACTGAAACAGCAGTTGAAAGCTGTTCGTGTGTCTATAATGCTGATACAGCGAAACAAAACTTATCCTGTGACGTTACCTTAAGGCCAGGGGTTTTACAATCAGAGTCACCGAAGGCTTCGTATATATGCAAAGTAAAAGAATCGTCCGCCTTCACAGAGGAAAGTAAAATTCTGCAGCCCGAACAAGGATACAGGTGAGGTGGAAGGGTACATGTAAACTTAACACCCCCCCCCCCCCCCCCCCCCCCCCCCCCCCCCT